GGTCTTTTGTCTTGTCCCGAAAATACTTCAGGCTTGACGTGGTCTGGCTCTCGGAAGACTGAGACAAGATTTGTCTTTGCCCCAAAAGGATTAGAGAATAAACCTGATCTTTACCCCAAAATATTTTATTCTAGAGTTGATCTTGCGCCTCAAACATTTGAGAGTAGACTTCTTGAACCTCATGGACATCTACTTTGTACTCTGTATTTAAAAGTAATACGAGCTAGCTAAAGGCTACAGTGCTAAAAGATTTGCGGATAGACTTTCGGTCTTGCCCTTTAAAAAAATATATTATACTTGGTACTTGATATTTGAGATGAGGTTCAGTCTCACCTCTGAAAGACTGAGACTGGACTCGTTCTTGCCCCTTGAAAGACTGACACTAGTCTTGGTCTTGTCCTCAAATCTTTGAGGCTAATCTTGGTAGTGCCTCTAAAAGACTAGACTTAATTTTGCCCGTAAAAGACTGGTACTCTAATTAGTCTGGCCCCTTGAAAAACTACGATAAAACTTGCTTCAGAGATTTGCGGATAGAGTTGGTTTGTCTTTTGAAAGACTGAAATTACACTTGGTACTTCCTATTTGAAATAAAACTCAGGCTTGCCCTTGAAAGACTGAGCATAGACTTGGTTCTGCCTCTGGACAGGATGTTGTCTTGCCTCACAAAGATTCAAGGCTAAACTTCATCTGGACTGAAGTTAGGCAGCAAGGTCGGTATGAGGGTCATTTGGCACATTCAAGATGGAGCGTGAGATGTTGGAGAATGTTAACGGATGTCAAGACGCCCCGTCCAAATGTTGGTTTTTGCTGTGTTTATTTATCTACCTGAGCCACTCAGAGGTGACCCCTGAGGTGAGCAGCGCGGCTAGTCATTTACACGCATATGCACATCGACGCCCCCCACCCTCCCACTCTAAACACACACACACTACCCATCGGGTTTCACATTGAGGCCGCAGCGTCTAAAAATATCAGCCCAGGAGAAGGTGGAAAAACACCAGCTTTGTGTTAGGGAGCCCGAGAGAGGCTAACAGATCAAACCACCGTCTCACCATCATTTGGTTTTCTGAAAGGTAGACTTGTTCACTGACTTTACTGGCCAACATCTAGCGCCAAATACATTCATATACACCACAACATGTCTGCAAAATATAAATATCCAAACAGTATTGGACTAACCATTAAATCATAAAACATTTAAGATGATACTACAAATAGGCAAAAGATACATTAAATGCCAATGACGTTGGGAGTGATTGTTAATTAATTGTCAAGTGAGGCGACTAAATGAATGCCACCACTTGCAGACATCGCATTAGCTGACGAAAGCCAGTTGCAAAATTTGGTAGTCATGTCCATCATGAAAAGACCCACAAAAAAAATCTCGAGGACCCATGCCGGAAAAGAAACAGAAAGCCATGTTAGGATCATTTTGGCCATTTTCAATTTCCACTTCAAAAATGAACTCCTCCTTGAGAACACCCAATAACTTATTTTGCAAATTCAACACGTAAAGCCAGTTTACTTTCGTAACATTAAATTTGGTCGGCATGAAACTTTAATCATGCAACTTCACAAGGTCAGCGCTTGACCAAACGTTCTTGTGTGTTAAAGGTCTTACACTGAAAAGACACTTAAAAAAACAGACTTGTCCAAGAGAGTCTGTCAAATTTGCATAATCTACAGTATACTACAAAGATGGGTAGCTTTTAAGTGGCCATTTTAGGGAGGTTTTTCCATCCATCCATTTCCCAATCCGCTTATCCTCACAAGGGTCGCGGGGGGTGCTGGAGCCTATCCCAGCTGTCTTCGGGTAGTGGGCGGGGACACCCTGAACCGGTTGCCAGCCAATCGCAGGGCACACAGAGACGAACAACCATCCGCGCTCACACTCACACCTAGGGACAATTTCAAGTGTTCAATCAGCCTGCCATGCATGTTTTGGGAATGTGGGAGGAAACTAGAGAACCCAGACAAAACCCACGCAGGCCCGGGGAGAACATGCAAACTCCACACCGGGAGGCCGGAGCTGGAATTGAACCCGGTACCTCTGCACCGTGAGGCCGACGTGCGAACCACTCGCCCAACGGGCCACTCAATGGAGGTTTTATTAAATCCAATTATTCCGCTACACAAGGTCAAAGCTTGACTCAATTTTGTGTGATGAAGGTCCCGCTCTGAAACTGCCTCCCACTTGCAGAAATGTAGAGGTGCAATAACTGCTGGACTCTGCTGATGTGTCCTCAGTCTGGCAACCAACGTGGGGGTCAAAATGGCTTGTCAATAGCCTCTGCCTTTGTATACACATAACACATACTCTTCTTTTCCCTCAACAACAAAATAACGCTCGTTCAATCAGGGCTCGGGTGGAAAAGACAGGGAGGGTATAAACGCGATTGCTGGGGAATTTTAAACAGAGGAAAATTGGCTTCGCTCGCCATCAAGGCTCGATTAAATTCAGCCAAGACTATTTCCCTGCTGTGGAAAAAATAACTCTTCGAGGCGGAAGTATCCTGCTTCCATACATTAAAGCAGATTGAGAGCCGGCTTGTAACAATACACTCGCACCGTGTGAGAAATCCTCGGGGTTGGAAACACATTTTTCGATTTTTTTTTTTTCATGAATTGTGAACTTGTTGAACTTTGACCACAATCTGAGGCGCAAAGAGTCCTTTCCACACACACACTCACCCACTCGGAGAAAGGCTATTTGAATGGACTTTCCTGCTGTCAGAATGTCTGGTATGCATTAGCCACAGACTCCAACAGAATAACTGGATCCACGGCCAGTGTGTTTTAAAGCAGATATTTGCATGTGAGCTGGTGTATACACACACACACACACACACACACACACACACACACACACACACACACACACACACACACACTCATGCTCGCACACACACGAAAACAGCAAAGTGAGGTCAAATGACGTCAAATTGAAAGTTAAAGGCCGACTATCTGTTGACAGAGAAGTGGACTAGCGCTTGCCTGTCTCACACACAGGCAAGCGGCCCTGAGTAACGCATTCGATTGGCTAACTAGTGTGACGTGGCGGCAGTTATAATACATAGGATTTGGCAGTGTCTTTTTGAAATAACCATTTCGATCAGGGATTGCAACAGGATGCCGACCACACACCGAGTGGTCCCTTAATTAATTCCTCCGCACCAGATTTTTTTTTTTTACAAACTCAAAAAATTCTTGAAAAAAAAACCCTGTGATAAACAATCGGCTTGTGTTTTCCACAGAGAGAAAATAGGCAAAAAAAATCCCAGAGAAATGGAAAATAACCCCGACCCCTCAAAAAAAAAATCTGCAATTATGACAAATATTAGAACAATGTTTTTTTTTGGGGGGGGGGGTTTACATATGCTTGAGAAATGTATCAGGAAAAATTAAATATATTCGTTGAACGTATTTGCACATATGCACATTTTTTGTGCATATTTAAAATTGTATTTTGTAATACATCTGGTTAGGAAGGGCATCGTTGTATTTGGCCCCCATAGCACTGATGAAAAATTCTGCCCCCCCCAGCATTTAAGTTGCCCATTCTTGATCTACAGTCCATGATGTATCTTGCCCATCGTCAGCTGAGTTACACTCCAGATCACTTGATGGATGATGAGGAAAAGCGGGATACAAAATAGATGGCTGGATAAATCTACAGAATATCAGCCAAAAATAAGTCCTAAACGCACCACATACAGTAGATCATCCTCCAAACAGCTCAGTGTTTTACTTTGATTTCATCTGACCACATCGCTTTCTCCCAAGGCTTCTCTAAGTCATTTGGATGTTCACTAGCACACTTAAGGCGGACACTCGGGTTGGGACAGTATGCTCTGCATGGGGAGATACGCCCTTTTTTTCCCCCGTTTCACAATGCGCTTTGTATTGATACCGTGTGTGTGTGTTATGTGCATGCCCGTTGCACATTCACCCACTCACAGTCGTAACTGTATCCGGCTTGAAAGTGTAGCCCAGAGACTTGCTTGAAGCATGTCCTGTACTTTACAAGCAATATGACCACGTTTCTCCTGTTTTCATATCCCAGTATAAACACTCGCTGGACACATGGCAGTCAAGCGATCGGGGAAGGCAACACCAGAGAGATGTTTTTTTTTTTTTCATTTGCGAACTTTGAGATTGTGTTTTTATTGCCTTTTGACCAGAATCGGTCAAACATGAAAAATGGTGGATGGTTAATTCCTTTTTACAAATTTAGTTGGGGGTCAAATTTCTCCTCACTTTATTTAAACAGACAGGAAGCATACCGATATATTGTATTTTTTTTAATCTCTGCAAAAAGAAATCAATGAATGGTTAAAAATCGGGCAAACCAGATTCGAGTATTTAGTTCTATCGAATAGAAAACAGTGATATCCGTGTTGTTGTCGTCAAAGCTGGACTTTCATAACACACAGGCTATCTTGTAAAAAAAAGTGGAACAGGCGGAGTGAAGCAAGAGGATGTGGAAGGTATCAGGCTTTTTTTTTTTTTTTCCACAGTGAGTTCACGGTGACCTCTTCTGACACAGTTATATTGAATTGCTATGTAGTTTTCGGAATACATCCAAATATTAAACCAAAACAGGTTTGTACTGGCTGGTTCTACATTTCTAGAGTTTCATCCATGACCCAAGGCCTTCCCTTTGGTTCGTTTTTGTCTCTGCCCACCAAATGGTAGAATAAATGGCTTCCTTGTGAATGAAAAAAAAAATTACTGGTTTTATTTCAGTGACATCACAAAAACCACCCGAGTAGCAGAGAGCGCCGGGGGCGAGGCGGCATCAAAGAAGCCAAAAGAAAGAAAGCGAGAGCGGGGACCATATGGTTCTCGCTCAGTGAAACTTAACCAAATCTTGGAAGTCTCTGGACCCAAAAGCCAAAACTAACAAACGTTCCTCCTTTTCAGTATTTACAAAGTCCAGTGCGGGCTTAGGTAGGGAGGAGATGACAAATGTAGCTTGTGATGCTGAAGCAAGAACGTACCTGGGTTGACTTGTGAGCTGACGGATGAGAGAGAGGACAGGAGGATCAGCAGTGACAAGCGGACATCGCGCGTGCGCTTCATCACAAAGATGTCTTTGGACCGGAATGGATCTCGACCTGGACACACAAAAAAACAAAAAAAAAAAAAAAAAAAAAAAAAAACG